GGGTTTCCAGGCACAAGTCAGCATGCAGGAGGGCAGGAATGTCTGTAACAAGGACCTGAAATTAAGGATCTAAGAATTTCAGTTGGGCTGGAGAGCAGGGTGTGGGCTGAGCACTGGGGCGAGAGATAAGACCGCAGAGCTAACAAGAAGGGCCGTCTGGGTCAGGCTAAGAATTTTGGACTTTATCCTCAAACTACAGGATTCAAAGGAGAGGAGGAAGTGACGTGATTAGATGAGTTTTCCTATTTTTGTCTTTATTTCTTTTATTTGAAGTTATCAAAGCAGCTGAGAAATTTGGTCTTTTTAGAAAAACCATTTTGGCGGCAGTGTTGAGCCTGGATTGGAGCTAGTGAGGGCAGAGACAGGGAAGCCTGTGGCAGGAAAAAGGAGGGCATGGGAAGGAGAAACAGGACAGCAGTTCAGTCCTGGAGTTTGGGCCACTTGATGAGGTATGTAGGGGTGGGAATGAGGAGAGGCGGGGAGGGGCTGGGGTGTAGGTAGTTTAGGAGCTCCCCCAAAGCTCAGAACACTGTTTCCTGCAGGCCTGTTCATGCTCATTCTCAGCATGAGAAACAAGATAGCACTTGGGATTTAAAAGTTGAAGGCTTGTTACCAAAGTCCCTAAAGCTCCCATTCTGAAAAGCATATGTAAATAGGGCCTGACACAAAAACACAGGGGCCCTTTTCTTTTGGCTTTCAAGGGAAAAAAAAAGATAGGAAAACAAAAATTAAACACAATGACATGAACCATTATAAACCTTCTCTTGGTAATTATGCACATACAGATTGTCAGCACACCAGGTGATTTTTAATCCCAGCCCAGTTCCCCTCCTGGCTTCTTAATGGATGCTGGCCACTTCCTCTTGGGACCAGGCCAGAGTAAGCTCAGGAAATGCAAACTTTTAATTCTGGAATCAGTAAAGCATATTAGGAAAGGAAATCTCACAAGTGAAGAAATCACATTATGAATTCCAAAGCCAAGGAAAAGGATTGTAAGTCAGATTGTGAAATCACTGGAGACAGGACCCTTTTACTCACTTCAGTGCAAGTGATTGATCTGGTCTCTACTCACCAAAGTTAACCAGGATTCTACTTTTCATTCTTGTATGTTTCTAAACCGCCATCCAGTACAACCTTCAGCTGTAGCCACTGAGCTCTCTGCAATCGCTTTGCAAGCTTCTGACAGCAGGGGTTGGGAAGGGGGCTGCCCTGCTAGGATGAAGTCCCAGCTAAAGGATCATTGTTTTTCATTTATACCCATGTCCCCAGGATTTTGCATGAATCAGAAGATAGAACATACTTGAAAGGCCTTGGTACACCCCAATGAGCTATACAGACATTACTGTTCTTTATTGTTCTGGCTGATAACTTAAATGACACTATTTAATTTTTAAAACTACTGTGAGTTCAATACTACAATGCACTCAGCTGCATGCAGTGTACATTCACAATCCTCACAATAATTTTATCAAGGAGGTTCAGAGAAATTAACTTGCTCAAGAGGATATGCTTTTTGTCCTAAAACAAAGGCCCTCGTGAGATTGGGTTAGATTGGGTTAGTACGTGCTGTACCATCACAGCACTTACTAGTTAGATGAACCAATTAATGAAGGTTGATCTTAAATCCATTGCTCTGTTCTGAATACTACCATTTTCCTTAAAACTTACTGTTCATTGCCTTTCCCTACTTGAAAGTAAGATCCATGGAAAGATATATTATTTTGTTCATGGCTAGATTCTCAAAGCCCAGAACAATGCTTGGGAACTGTAAGGGTCCAATAAATACCTGTTAGTAAATAAACAAATGATAGCTGTGCAAACAAGCAAATTCTTTTTGTGACATCATAGTTTTTTTTTGGATGCTGATCTCAGTAAGATAACGTTCTGACAACTGTAACTAACGTGGGTAAGTGCAGAATGCTCTGGCTTCCTGAGTTAAATATTTACCTGTAGTTGAATAATGATCAGAAGAGGAACCACAGGAATGCTGTCCCCAGGAGCACTGACTGTGTCAGGAAGGAGTCACTAGTGGTTGCCACAGGCAGCTGTGGACTCTATACTCCACAGCTTTGTCCAGCACCAGCAAAATCATGCCTAGAGACCACTGTGCTGTTGACTTCCATTTTATTCACCCCCCTTTTACCAGATGCAGTTCTTGTAGAAGCCAAAAAAAAAAAAAAAGGAACCTGTTTGTAATAATCATCAGCTTCATTTTCTTAGGAGTCATGTGTCTCTTGCCAAACCCTTCTAGATCAAATGTACTGTTTTTTCCTCTTTGTAAACCAGAAGTATGTGCTTCATTATTTTGTTTCAGTATAAAAGTAACAATCACATCAACATTTAGAATATAGAAAAATATAGAAAAATTACCTCTAATTTTACCATGCTTACAAAATGCCTAGTATATTTGCATATATCCTTTATCCCCTGTGCATGTGTACATATGTATTATGAATACACACACACCATGGTGGTTTGCATTCTGCTTTGTCATTTAACATTGTGCCATGTGTATATCATAAGGACTTCATAGTCATCCATTTAAATAGTTATTGATATACATTTTAGAAATTTTCAAAGAAACTGATAATTTCAAAGACACCTAACTCTCTTATATAAATTCCAAATCTGGAATTCTTAGGGAAAAGATGTAAACTCATGGTATCTGACACATACTATGAAACTGCTTTGCCAACATGCTGTAACAATTTTTTCAGCCACCAAGTGATGATAATTTTAATCAATTATCAATGTAGGGAAAAATAGAAACCTCATCCACCTTTCAGTTTACATTTAAGAACACTGCTAGGGAAAGAGAATTTTAATCATGATTGGTTACCAGTTATGTTTCTTCTCTTTTAAAATCATCACAAATATTGAGGGGTGTCTCTTCCCTGTGGAGGCAGTGAACAGTTAAGAAGAGTACCAAGAGCAAGGGTTTTGGGATTCAAATCCATTTTAATCAAAGAGCTGGACATATATGCACCAACCTCATGAGTTGTTAGTTTCATCCATTCATTACCAAAGATAGACCATTCCATTTGTAAGACTAAAAGGAGGATCTGATCAAAAAGGAGAGTTTGATCATTTCATTAATATTCTTATCTATGTTACTCCCACACTATCCTCTGAAAGTAAGGATCTACCCACCTTGGGAATCAGAAGAGCTCAATTTTTTCCCTAACATTACTTTTCTTTGATTTTTTTTTTCAGTAGTCAGATGCTTACACTTATTAAGCCCTTGCTTAACAGAAGCTGTCCCAACTAGCCTTCATGACAACCCTCAGGGGGTTGGCACTCATTATTAACACCTTACAGAAGAAAACACCTGATGCTTAGGTGTGAAGTCACTCAGCCTCTGTCTGAACCCAGGCCACCTACTGTGTTAAGCACCAGCAGGCTGTGATGATTCCTATGCTAGCTTTAGGAAGTGAAGGTGATAAAGTCAGCCAAAAGTAAGTAAATCAATACTGTTCACAGCAGGAGAAAAATACTCTACCAGTCACGCTCATTTGAATGATTTTGTCACTATGGTCCAGACTAAATGGAGGAAAGGCTGACTGAATCTAAAACCCTAAAGCTAGAACAACACATTTCAGGAATGATGTACTTGAAACCTCTTTGCGTGCATCTAAAATCTGAAGCAGTGTGGTGTGATTGCTCACATTTGGATAAGCCAGGCAAGCTTGGCTGTCATTTCCTATCAGGTTTTCATAATGGCACAAGTCTATTATTAACCTCTTTCTTCAAGTGCCTGACCTGATTATTAAAAACCAATCAATCTCAAATTCAATATGACAAAACACTGGCTCATACAAAAATATTAAGTGGCTTTTAACAATTTTTTTCCTTTTTAAAATACAGGATTAATATTGACATATGTAAATATGGTCATCTTACCATGATCACCAGACACTGTCCAACCTATCAGGTTCTTAAATAATTGTCCAGTTTTGAATCAGGAGGCTGTTTCAGAATGTACCCTTGAAGACTCCCAAGCCTTTTTGGGCACAGCTACTTAAAGAACTGTATGCTCTCTCTGTGACTTACAGAGACAGAGGGTGTGGGACAGAGGAAAGCAAAGATAGGTGGGTACTCTATGCATACATCTATTTTCTCAGAGCAGTCGCTGAGAGTGTGTCACTGAAATAAAACTTAAGTCTAGTCAGACCTCCTGTGGAGCAAGGGATAACAGACTGCCCAGTCAGAAAGCCCAGATGCATCCAGCGTTGAACACAACACTGCAACACAGAGAGGATTAGCTACAAGGAGTAGATGGCAGACTAGGCCTATTACTGAGTTTTAGTGTTGGCTCTGTTACCAAAACTCATCTTGAATAAATCCCCTAAGCCGGTATCTTCAGTGGGAGAAAGTCAGCGTTGGACAGGGTGATAAAAGGTTTAGTCCAGCCTTGAACCAGTTTTTAACCTTTGCTTCTGAATACAGCAACTTCAGAACCCTTCCTTCCAAGAGGTGGTGGTCAATCTGCACCAAAAAACTCCCACTTCAAAAACAAGATTAACTAATGAAAAAAAGACTAAGCAGGGTCTTATAGATGTAGCTTGACACCTGGGATGGGGAAAGCAATCCTATACAACTGGTTTACTTTTTCCCCCCACTTTTTTTTACTTGTATTATTCAACTGACAGTAGAGTAGAGATCCTCATTTTTATAGAAGGGGAAAGAGGAACAGAGGTTAGGTTCATGGAAAATGGCAGAGTCCAAACTGGAGCCAAGCCTGCCAACATCACAGCAGGCTCCTCCCCTAAAATTCTTCCTCCATCTGCCATGACACTTGGTCACAGAAAGGGAGTTTTCATTGTATCCTTAAGGTTAACTACTCTGGTTTCAAATTGCTTTCAGAAAGGTAGTTTCAAAATTCCTCTCCTACCTGCTTTAAAGAGGTAAAGAGAAAAATCAAAACAAACCATGTACACAAATCCCAAGCACTTAAGCTGAATGATTTAATATCAGCAAGGGCCAAATTGAATCTTGATAATAAAAATGGAGACATGCAATATTTTCCTCAAGAAAATAAACATTTGGAGGAAGAAACATTTCTTAAAAAAAATTTATTTTAAAAAGCCAGCCTCTTAAACAAGGTTTCATATCTATACTTCCATACTGTCAATTACAATATTTTAAAATACATTGAATATAATTCACTGAATGTCTATCATTATCTTCCTGCCTCAATTTAAAATATATCAGGTTAAAAAAATATTTACAGTTTTCATTCTGGTCCATCCTCCTTCCGTCCTTATACTAAACCCATTTCTCTGCTACCTTTCAGATAAGTGAAAAGGGTCACAAAACCTTTAGATCTGTGTAAAGAGTAAGAAAATGTGTCCAGTAACTCTAAGCAAAACATAATTTTCTTTAAGGCCTTCTCAGAAAAAGGAAAAGGAGTTACTTATTGATAAGCCCACTTAGCAACTTCTCTCCCAGTCTTACTCTTACTGGTTTGCCTGGGCCAAATCTCTCTGGCTGTCTTTAATTAACAAACATTGAAAACACAAACAAACAAAAAACTGAACACACAAAGACAGTGTGTGTTCTCACACAATGCTAAGGTAGATGCAGATATAAATGGAACTACTATGAATCAAAGGGGAAGAATTCCAGGAAAAACAGAAAAAAAAGATTGCAAGTCTCACAGTTTAACTGAGGTTTTGGAAAAAACCTAAGGTGAATTCAGCTGCTGTTTGAAATATCTGTCTACATTTAATTTACTAAGGAGGCACAAATATATTGTTTTGTATATTTTAATACTAACTTTTACAGTGAAAAAACAATACCATGTGATCTCAAAAGGGGCGAGGATCTATAACCACTCAAAATGTGTCTTTGGAAAGGGGAACAAAAATAGTAATTTAAGGAAGTCAACTCTCAAGCATTCGGCTGCTAATAAGCAACTCAAGATACTGGAGAGGTGTTGATGAGCACAATGCATCTAGAACAGCCAGGATGTTTCCAAAGTTTTATGCCTTAAATTTTCTAAATACATATTTAGCAAGCATATATGCCAGGCAACTATTGATGCTAGGAAAATATTTTAGTCAGGATATTATAAAACCCCCAACTTTAAACAAACATTTCTGTTCATAAATCTTCCAGTGACAATGTCTTACAATATATTATAAATAACAATGAAGCAAGATTAATTTTAAATTTTAGATTTGCCTCAAACTAGTTGTTATTTTTTCCTTGTAACGGAATGCTTCAAATGGGTGAATTAAGCAGAATGGTTTAAAAAGTTAAGGCTCCCTAAAGAGTTCTAAAGAATAAAACTTAAGGCACATATTAAAATCTTCATGACACTGTTAAAAGCTAAGATTTAAACAAACAAACAAACAAACAAACAAAAACCCAACTTCCTTCCTGCATTCGTTTTCAACCACTCCCTCCCCAAAGGCTATGGTATTTTTAATTCAGACTACTGGTAAGGAGTGAAACAAAAATTCCATCAACGAACCCCTGCAAATGATTCCCACGCAAATGTCCAGTATTTGCATTGAGCACCACTGGTAGATTACAGGCCAATAGAATATTTCATGAGCTACTCCATTTACCCTTCAGCCCCGCAAGTTCAAACCGGACTCTCCTCCTCTTTGGGGCCTCCTTCTATGCCTTTCTGCTCTGGAGATTCTGCTGCATCACTGACTTCTTTTGGCTTCTCAGCAACATCTATACTGGTCTCTTCCTCTTTGCTTTCCTTTTTCTGCTGCTTCTCTGCTTTCTGTTCTTTTGCCAGAAGTCGATAATTGATGCCCATGCCAATGAAGAGATAGATGCCTGAGACAATAAGGATTACGCCACATGCCCAGTATGTGTATTTATAGTCTCCATATATGTCATTCAGGCTACCTAAAGATGGCAAAAAAAAAAAAAAAAAGTTATGTGGGTGAACAATTATATCTTTTCCCAAATAAAGCTCAAGGATACACTTAGAAAAATGTCCACCCAATCCTCAAAGCCCACGAATGAAAATTAAGTATAAAAAGGAACAGCTGAATATTGTCTGATCTTTTGTTTATGACATCACACCAATTCTGGATGGCCTAGAATATTCTGTTCTTAAGAAACTTGAAAATAATTAAATCTCGGCGAATTTGAACTGGGAAAGACTTAGAGATCACATAGGATTAATTCTTTCAATATACAGTAGAAAAATTTGTTGCTCAAAAGAGGTTTGGGAGTCTTGCCCAAGGCCACAGAGTGATTTCCACTCTCCCAGGACAATGCTCTTTCTCTGACATCAGTGTTTCCCAAAGAGCATTCCTGTGAGCACTCATCCTGTGCTAAAATATTAACAAACAGCAATACCTTTCCACCATTCTAAGTGCTTAATATTCACTACAGGAAGATTCTATCATCATTACCATTGTATAACGTAAAAACCAAAGTTCAGAAACCTTAAGTAACTCGTCCAAGGTCACAAAGTGACCTAGTGTGTGAAATAGGTTGGCTTGAAACCCACCAGGTCTGACTCAGGCCTCCACCCACAACTCTGTGCTACAGGACACCTCCCTAATGTTTCCAAAGTCAAGTACATTTGGAAATGACATATCATAGTCTTTTCTGTTAAGGCTTTTATGAGGTCTGATAGTAAAGAAACTCATTTACTTTGGTGTTTCCAAACTTTTTTGGCCATGGAATCCTTGTTATAGTAAAATGTATTAGCATCTCTACAAAACTAGTATTTCAAGGAATAAACTTTGGAAAACTCTACACCCATAAAGAATATAATAACCAGTTCAAATAGGACTCCATACAGTTTTCTAGCTCAGGGCATCACTCACTCAGCAATGCTTATTGGGTCTCTATACACACACCAGGCACTGGGTCCACTAGGCCCTGAGTTAAGGGTGAGCAAAAGAGGGAACATCCATACAGTTCAGTGGAGAGGAAAAATGTTAACCCACTAAGTGCATACACTGTGACAAATGCTACAGGGAGGGCCTGAGAGCAGAGAATAGGAGGTTGAGGCCAGCAAGTAGGGTCAGGAGGGCTTTTCTTAAAGTGTAAATAAACTTCGCCAAGACTTACAGGAGGATAGGAGTTATCTGGGAGAAAGGAGATGGGAAAAGTATCCAGGTAGAGAAGAGCCTGTGCAGAGGCGGGTGGTAGGAGGAAGAAGAGGGTGTGAGAGGGGAAGCAGAGAGAGCAGACTGAGTGGTGGGAATGAGGCTGGAGAGATGGGCGGGCCAGCCCATGCAGAGCCTTGCAGGCCAAGGTAGGGAATCTGATCTTCACCCTAAGATATGGGAAACAACTGGACTGTTCTAATCAGCTGGAATATCAGGTTTGCATTAGCAAAGATAATTTTGCCAGCAAAGAAGAAAGGGGATTGAGGGCTGGCTAAAGTGGATATGGGTAGACCAGTTAGGAGGCTACTGGAGCAGCCCAGATACGAGACAGGAACTATGGATAAGGGTAATGTTGTCATGGAGAAAATGGGCAGATTAGAAAGAGCTTTACCAAGTGAAAAGTGACAAGACTTGGCAACTCTATCGGGTATGGGGAGGAAAAGCACAATATCAAAAGACAGCTGTAGGTCTTTCTTTTATGTGTCACTACTCACCTCCCAAATCACACTCATACAAGCCTGGGTCACAACCAGGAGAGCCAAATTATTTTTCACCATATGTTATCTTTTGAGTTATTAATTTAAAAGATGAAGTATTTAATAACCTTAGGAAACAGTTCCCAAATTATATATTCACTTACTAGCTCTGTGGTGCAAGGCACATTATTTCACCTTTCGAAGACTATTTCTTCACTTATGAAGTAGGAACTGTAACAGTCCTACCTCATAGACTTGTAAGATATAGGAGGATACAGAAAATGGTTAGGGCAGTCCTTGGTATACCATGGACACTCACGGTAGCTATAATTTATTATTTTAATTATTACTACTGAAATAAACTTCATTATTAAAATCAATCACTACCAGTGCTTTAGAGGTAGAGTTGTATTTTACATGTTTTTCTACAGTAAGCATGTAAGTTTTATGAAAAGGAAACATTTTTTAAAACCAATGCTATTTGTAAAATTATTTAACTCCCCTTTCAGCTTGATGATTCATTTTAATTCAGTTCTATAAGTATTTGAGCAATTATGCTGTGCCAAGCATTGTATCAGCACAGAGGGTACAGAAATAAGAAAGACTAGCCCTCTGCCATCAAGCAGCTCACTGATTCCTGCTTTCTCTCACCTTCTCAATCATCTATGCTTGTTTTTTAACAGAACCACAGAAATAGGGACATACTATACCTAAAAGCGGTGGCCCCAGGAGGACAGGACAGCATTCCACAATGGTCACCAATCCCACGGCACTAGAGAACCTCTGGGGTCCAACAAGGTCCATCAGTGTTTCAAATAACACTGAACTGAGCCATCCAAATGCAAATCCAAAGAATCCCGCGTAGACACAAAACCCTATATAGCTGGAGTTGATGAAAGGTGCTAGCAGATGACATACTCCATTTGCAATAATGGAAGCAGCAAAAAAATACTGGACTCGAGGTCTTATCCACTTTGTGTTGGCTACAAGTCCCATAGAAGGCCTGGCTACCATGTCAACAAAAGCCAGAATAGAAAGAAGGAAGGCAGCTTTCTCACTAGAGTAATGCTGACTCTTGCCATAATTACTAAGAAAGACTAAAGGTGTAAATAGTCCAAAAAACATGAGCACGTTTCCAGACAGATAGAGCAAAAAGCCTCTGTGTGCAAACAGGGATAAGTCCAGGAATTGATTAAGTGTCTGGAAGACTGATCGTTTCTCTTCTTTGGGGTTTCCTCCAATAAGATCTGTATTTGCATCACTTGCTCCTTTTATTGCATCAGATTTTCCAGCTTCCTGAATGGATTCTTTAGACCTATGTTTCTCTGCAGTGCTTGGCTTGGGCCCTATTGGTCTCATCAGAGATCCTGCTACACAGCAGTTTAACAGTAAGCCCCCAAGAATTAGGAAGCTTCCTCTCCAGCCAAAGATGCCAAAGAAAGCCTGGTTGAGGGGGGCCAGGGTAGAGAGGAAAACAGGACTGCCTGCCATGGCCAGTCCATTTGCCAATGGTCGCCTCTTGTAGAAGTATTTGCCAATCATGGTCAGAGCTGGATTCAAGTTGAAAGCAAGCCCAAGACCTGGGGAGAGGGGGAAAAAGAATCACACACTACAATAAAATGTCAGAAATATATTCAGAATTACTTAACCAGACAAATAAATTAAAACAAAAGCTATATAATTCAAAATGATACAAATGAATAGGAAGATAATCTATGCTCATGGGTTGGAAGAATTAACATTGTCAACATGTCCTTATTACCTAAAGCAGTCTACAGGTTCAATGCAATGGCTATAAAAATCCAAAGTACATTTTTCACAAAAATAGAACAAAAAATCATAAAATATGTGTGGAATCATAAAAGATCCAATGTTCATATTCATAGCAGCATTATTTACAATTGCCAAGTTATAGAAACAACCTGTGTCCGTTAATAGACGAATGGATAAAGAAGATGGGGTGTGTGTGTGTGTGTATATATATATATATATATATATGCAATGGAATACTACTCAGCCATACAGAAAAGATAAAATATTGTTCTATCCAACATCATGGCTGCACCTTGAGGGTATTATGCTAAGAGAAATAAGTCAGAGGAGAAAGACAAATACCATGATTTCACTCATACGTGGATATAAAAAACTAATAAACAAAAACAAAATAAATTAACAAACCAAACCAAACAAAAACAAATATGTAGATACAGAGAACAGAGTAATGGTTACCAGAGAAGAAGGGGCTGTGGGGAGGGGGAAATGAGTAAAGGCAATCAACTGTGTGGTGATGGATGGGAAATAAACTTTTGGTGGTGAAAAAATAAAATAAAAAATAAAACCAGATGTCAGACCCCTTGACCCTCCTATGACTCTTTCCTCACATGTAAAACAGGCACACAGAACTGCTGTGAATAAAACAAGAGGCACATAACTCATAACAGTGCCTGGCACGTGGTTAGCAATCGATATATGTTAGTTATTTTATAATTGTTGTTTATATTATTTGCAAGCGATTAGCTATTTGTCAAATCTGGCAAATAACCTGAGGGATAACTGTAACCACAGAAGATCATTAAATAGACAGTTATCAAACAGAGTTTTAAAAACAGTCTTAAATTAGAAAATGCAAACAGAGAGTTTTAAAAACAGTCTTAAATTAGAAAATGCAATACAAAATTATTCCTTTTACATACAGCAGTACCAAAAACTAAAAAATGTGCAATTTATAATGGCTACAATTGTATAACTTTCTGGAAAGGCCAGAGAATTAAAACCAACACACAAAATTTTGGGGTAATAAAACACAACATTCTCAAGATGTCAGTACTCCCCAAATGAATGTGCCGATCTAATGTGATTCCAATGAAAATGTCAGTGCATTTCACTCTGGAGATGAAGTAAAATGACTCTAAAACATAATTAGAGAATACATGTGAGTCAACCAGGAAGTTTCTGGTGATGCAGCAGGAGGAATGGGATTAATATTAGATATAAAAATGAACTTTTAAAAGCTACAATCATTAGAACAGTGTGACTCTGGCTCAGTAACAGATAAAAGAAAGGACAGAAAGTCCAGGAACATACCTGAAATATATATCAACATTTAAGGTAAGGTAAAAGTGACATTTTTAATTACTACAAAAAGAATTAATAAATGGTGCTAGAATCAGTAAATATTCAAATAACTTTTGGTGCTCTCCCTGGCCCCCTCTTGCTCCCTACTATTTATATCTAAGCTATTCACAGAGTCTTAAACCAATTAACCAGAGTAGGTCACTCCTGTATTTCAAACCTGCTCATGGCTTCCTGGGCATAACCTTTCTCCTGGCCTTTACCTCCCTCCCTGATCTCATACCAGACCATTCTTCCCTGTGCTAATAAGCAAGCTGACTTAGGGCCTGTGTTCCTAGATTTTCACAAAGCTTGTTCCCTGCTGTTACTCAGATATCTATTAAGGTCATCTCTGCAGTGAGCCCTTCCTTCCTTTTGCTGACTACCTAGTCCTTCCCTGTCAGGACATTTTGTTTTGAGGGTTTGTACAGCATTTATTGCTCCCTGATTTTTCTTACTTATTTATCTATTTGTAAGTAGCTGTGTCTGACTCCTCCCATGAAAGGGCATGACTTTGCCCAACTTGTTGCCCTGTGCCCACAGCACAGAGCCAGTGCCCGACATACATATATATGACTGTTGTTCATGATCTATTGTTAAGTCAAAAAAAAACTGGTTATAGAATATTTTATGTAATCATATCGTTTTTTGTTCTGAAAAAAGTTGTATGTTTACACATAGAAAAAAGCTGGGAGTGGGGAGGGTATAGCTCAAGTGGTAGAGCACACACTTAGCATGCACGAAGTCCTGGGTCCAATTCCCAGTACCTCCTCTAAAAAGTAATAAACCTAAAATAAATAAAATAAATTAATTACCTCCCCACCACCAAAATGAAATAATTAAATAATACAAATGAGAAAAAAGCTGGGAAGGACATACATTAAAATGTCAATAGCCATTTATTAGTGACATTATGAATAATATTTATTTATCATACTCATCAGCAGTTCATTATCTTAATTTGGCCATTAAAACAAAGGGGAAGGAATTACCAAGGGATAGAGGATCCTCTATTCCTCGGAAATATATGTGAACTTTGTTATCAGATAATTCCTGCTTCATGTTTTGCTGCAATCGAAGTCTATTCCTGTGAGAGGAACAGGTACTGAGGGAGAGCAGTAACCAGTGACCACCCTTGCAACAAACTACCAGATATATTTTATCCACAACCACTGACTATTCTTAGGACAAGGGATACAATCATTTATTTCAATTCATTCATTTATTCTACAATGAACACCAACTGTATGATAGCAATTTCTTTAAAATTTTGGTTTTCTAGTACCCTTAATGTATTTACAGCTATTCAAAATGATAATCAAGTAATTTCTATAAGGAAGGAATTTCACACAGAAGATCTGAAGGACCAGTGCAGGTGAATACTAAATAGCCAGCAATGAATTAATATTTTAAAATGAATCAACTCACCTCCAATGACTCCAACACACAAGTAAAGTTCCTTCACAGTGTTACAGAAAGAAGCTGCAATCAAGCCACAGCCTGACAAGCAGCCGCCAATAATCATGATTGGACGACTGCCGTATTTATTCACCAGGATACTGCTGATAGGACCTAGGAGAGAACCCAAAATTTAGTAGTACAGAGGAAAGAAACACACCCCCTCACATGTACATAAGGCATTAACAACACTGAATGACAAGTCCTCCAAAATTAGCAGATACAGCAAAAGGCAACGATAAGAATATTGCTATCTATAATTATTTCATAGTCATAGGTATTTGTGCTGGAAAGTACAGACACTAAAAATCATTAATTGTGTATCTTCTCTATCTTGAAATATTGAAAAGAACTTAACCTTTCTCTTGTAAGGTAGAACAGGCTGAAAACACCTTGGTAATGCATATTCATAGGCTTCTCGCTGTATCTAGGATATGATCAATATATATTTAGCAAGTCTGCTCTATTTTAATTTTGGACAGGCACAATGACATGATGAGATGATGTTAGAGTGTTCTTCACACATTATCATAAATGTGGCTTGTGTCATATTTAAAAAAAACAAAGGTTAAAATACATAATTATTTTTTCCAAGTTAAGTAGTTTTGCAATTAGGACATCTAAATTTAAAACAAAACAAAATACCTGTTCCCAGTTACATGGAGATATCTCAGGTATTGAATTGAATGGAATATCTTTTAGGGTTAATAGGTTCCATGCCTGTTTTGTGGTAGCAACACTATGAAAAACTGTAGAAGAAGATTAAGTCAGATGACTGCAAATAAAAAGTCACTGCAGTGCATCCGTGGGAAGGGGACACAAGGGAAAGAACTGATGTTTGAATTTACAAAGTCACAAAGCTAATGAGAACTGAGTTTCAAATCTAGCCCATTTTCTTCCCATTACATGTACTCTATTTTTGGGACTAAATTATTAAGAAGACATACAAATCATATTTTTCTTCTATTAGCACAGTAAATTCTGACCTTATTCTATTATTCTATACTTAGCTCCCTAGAAGATAGTAAGTCCTTTTTTAAAAACAGACATAGAATGTGCATATTCAGAATATACTGTTGATCATGTTGACAGATTCTATCTCCATAAACACTATGAAAAATTCTGCATTACTCATACTGTAGTGCTACTGTTCAGAGTTGCAGTATGGTATACTCAGATGACAAGGACAGGCTATTGGGGGCAGGGGGATGGGTAATAGCTCAGTGGTAGAGCCTGTGCTTGGTATGCACGAGGTCCTGGGTTCAATCCATTAAAAAAAAAAGAAAAAAAACCTCCATTAAAAAAAAAGGCAGGTTCTGGCCCCAGGGAACCCAATTTCAAAGTATGGTACGTATAATCAAAATGCGGTATGTATATACATATGTGTATATATATTAAAATGCAAGAAGGAATTAAAGCTCTTGAAAATCCTAGTGTTGCAGAGGACTGATTCTAAGGGGCTGGGTCAAGAACTGGCTGCAGGAGACACTTCAGGTCATCCAAGGATATGTAGAAAGAAGTTTTCATTGATGTTCTAAATCTCTTTATGAAGATATTAGGCCACAGCTGGTTTGGAAATAGTTTGAACTTATAGCTTGTAGAAGATGAAAGAATTAAATACTAAGAGAATATTCATTAAATATTTTCATATAAATTAGTCATTAAACAGTTTTTGTAGTCAGAATTACAAAGATCAAAAAATACTGCCACACTATTGACTCTGTGAAGTAGAAGTTAATACTGTAAAGTTTTTAGTATTTTAAATTCTAAACTGGCAATGTTAAGATGACATTACTGTGGAACTGAAACAGGTTTGTTTTTTTTTTTGAAATAGAGGGGACCCAGGACCTCTTGCATCCTAAGCAGATGCTCTACCTCTGAGCCATACCCCCTCTCTCCACTGTGGAACTGAAAAAAATGTAAATTTATATTTTCATGTTCAAAAAAAAGAAAAACTCAAATAAATAATCCAAGAGTAAGGAAATAAGATCTTCTCCTTTAAAAGGTATACTTATAATCTAATTAACATCAGTATGTATCTCTGAACCAAAGCACAGAAAGAAAGAAAGAAAGAGACAGAGAGAGAGATGGAGGGAGAGGGAGGGAGAAAGGGAAAAGAGAAAGTAAGGAAAGAAGGAAGGGAGAAAGCAAAAGAGGTGGAGGAGGGAGGGAGAGGAAGAGAAAGCAGGGAGGGAGAGGAAGATAAAGCAGAGAGGGAGAGGAAGGGAGAGAGAAAAGGAGAGAAGAGAGAGGAAGGAAGAGAGGACAAGAAGAAGGAAGGAAGGAGAGAGGGAGGGAGGAAGAAAACTAAGCCACTTAGAACTCAAAACATAGTGTTGAGGGTGTGGCCCAAAAGCACAAGTTAAATTAAGGCAGTTGTAAAAGTAATGATAATCCTTAAGGGGGCATACCACCTAAGTCCAATCAATAAATATAACCCACTTAGGAAAAATTCTGCCACAAGGCTCATGATATGCAATTTGTCTTTCAGAGTTATTTCAGGAAAGATGGCCTCAATTAGCTATCATTAAAAATAGAGAGGGATACAGTTTATAGGTCTATTATGTCACATATTCAGAGAAATGTGCTAGTTATCTCTGGGTGTGGACAAAGAAGGAAATGTTTTCTCAAAAGAGTCATGTGCAATTAGCACTACTGGCATAACTTACTTTTGATGCAAAATGCATGTAGCTCTCAAACCCTTTGGTATGTCAGAATTGCAACATATGAACCTCTGGCTTGTAGTCAGCTTCAGACACACTGAGCACTTGGAGCACCTCTGGATAATATTTATACCGTTTTCTTCAAGCCATTACAGTCATCACCTGATTAGAAATCCTGGCCGATGGAGTTCAGAAGCCTCCACAGTTAATGGCTCTCAGAAGCTAGAAAATGTCCGAAGTCCCTTTGATTTCTCTGAGCTCATGAAAAAAGTACTACAATTTAGCACTTCTGTTCTTTTAAAAAGTACTTAATTTGATAGACAAAACAGGCACATGTTCAAAATTTAAAAGGCACAAAAAGATATACAGGGTGGAGGGTACAGCTTAGTGGTAGAGCGCTTGCTTAGCATGCACAAGGTCCTGGGTTCAATCCCCAGTACTTCCATAAAAAAATTAAAGAAAAAAAAAATCTAATTACCTGCCCCTACAAAAAAAAAAAAAAGATACACAGCAGAAAAAGTCTTCCTATTCCCAGCCACCTAATTTATCTCCTTCTATGACAACCAGCTTACCTATTTTTCTGTGCAAATAAGTACTGCACTAAATTATGACTTCAAATACTTATTCCTGTTTCTTGAGTTTATGTTATTGTCTCAACCCGATTACAAACTTCCTAAAGGCAGGAATCACGATCAATGTTCTTTATCATTCACAACACCTAGCCTACTAAGGAATAGGTGCGTAGGACTTAATAAATATTGGCTGAATCTGCCACTAGATTAGAAGCCTAAGGCTAAGTAAGGTTTACAGATGAAATACAGAATCTTTATATTGGCCATTAAAAGAGCTTGTGTGAAAATAATGAGGTACTAAATTATCATTAAAAAATAAGATTAACAGAAGTGAAAACTTGGCTAAATAAGCAACATGAGACCCTGTCAATCCCAATAAATAAATACACTTGACTTTAGAATCTCTGCTAAAAACAAGCAACTACATATTTTAAGTATTATGGGAAGTTTTTATTTCTATATGTAAAATTGTGATTTGACATTCCAAGGTGAAACAAACAGTATTTTAAATGATGTTTTAAGTAAGCAACTTACTCTCCACATTTCCTTCACAACATGTCAAAGAAAACAGAAGAGGAGAAAAATAAAACTTAAACTTAAGATGCAGCTGAAATGCTTCAGGACTAATAACCTCACAAGGAATAGGGGGGATTTTTATCCAGTTCTTTAAGTCTAACACCATAAAAAGATTTAACCTGAGACTTTGAACTGTGGTACTCAGGTTAGCCTGATTTACTTTAATTCTCCCCACATCAATATTAAAAAGATCTTTATTTACAGTTATACCTCAAGACTCTAGTGGAGAGCAATAAGAAAAATCTATTGTGCACATGTCATTTTTCTGAGAGCTTTAAGTTCAATGAAACTGAGTTGGAACAAATCAGGGCACCTAACAATTTCTTATTTCTGTTTTAGAATACCACAGTGGAAGAAACAAAGAGTTGTTATTGTTAACAAGAATAAAAATGTGACTAAACATAAAGCTTCAAGAAATAAGATTTCAAAACACTACACTGAATAATACTTTTTTTAAAAAAAAAGTTACCTAAAATAGAGCCTCTGGCTGCTTACTGAAAATTAAAACAGCAGGCCTTAGTGGGTACTTACCTCCACCATACATGACAGCCAACATGATGGAAGATATCCATGACACTTCACTGGTGGTGGCATTGAATATACCTTCAATTTCTTTGAAGAACACAGTAATAGATTTGGGAAATGCATAAGAGAAGCCAATGGAAATGAAAGCTCCAACTACTACTGCCCACCCCCAGCCTCCATCTGGGGGGGTGTATCCAACTGGACCTCCAACTGCCGGGGGCATTGTAAATGTAGATAAATTCCAAAACGCAGTTCAAATTCAAATATCTGAAGGATATAAAATTTAAATAACGTGTCAGCAATAAAGCACTTCCACCTAGCACTCCTAGCAACAAGGCACTTCCACCCTTTACTCCTAGCTCTCAAGTAACTGAACTGTTTTTCAACATTACTTGTCAAACAAACATTATCTTCTAGTTTGACTTATCTGCTTTCAAAATTCACATAACATATACCCTATAAAAGTTTCAGGTTTAATATAGGCTTTATAAGTTTTTCACCTTTCCCATATATTCTTCAATACTTACTTCCTTTTTACTTTCTCTTATTTATATGCTGACTTAGAAGTAATAGAAAGTGGGTACCTGACTCACTAGATATGTAGCAATTTGCAAAATAAAAGATCACTCTGAACATATAAGAATTTCATTTAATGGGCTGGAAAATAATCTCAGAAAAGTTTCCTTTTATGTATCTAATTGCTTTGATTCAAGAATTTTTTTTCTTATTATATGACAAGAAAAACTCCTAAACAGCTAATCAATTCAGTTAAACTCATAAGCTGAACTATAATATCAGAAGACAGTAGTTTCGAACCAAAGATTATCCTTTTTTCTTGAAGCCACCTAGTACTAATGAATAGCGTGGTTACAAAGTCAAACTTCCTGTTAAGGAAAAGATGGGAGTGTTTGATAGTAGGCTTACCTGTTTTCTCATGAAGGTCTCCTTTAATTTATTTAAAGCGAACTTCTACCCTATATTATAACTCATCCTACATCAGTATGTGAGCATGTCCATTTCAAATGATCTCCACTCAGACTATATTACTGCAGTAAATACAGGCAACCCCCATGACAGGCACACTCTTGGCTACAGCATTCTATAGTCTAAAATACAGATTCAAGCTTCATAGTGTAGTAGTGTAGTAGTCAACTCCTAAATACTGTTCCTTCCCACCACCCGAATACTTCAAAAATGATTTAGGACAATAGACACTGTAGGGGTAGGAAGTTTCCCTAAAAGCAAGGATAGGTTTCATTGTTTCTACTTAACATTGTATTAAAGTTTCTAGCCAATGTGTACAGGCAAGAAGAAATAAAAGGCATAGACTAGAAAGGAAGAAGTTGTCTTTAGTCACAGATGACATAATTATCGATGTAAGTAATGCTAAAGAATATACAAAAAACGTATTAGAACTAAAAATGAACCTAACTAGGTCTCAGGATACAAGACCAGCAAACAGAAATCAACTGTCTTTCTATAAACCAGCAATGAACAATCAGAATTTGAAATTTTAAAAATTATATACCATTCACAGCAGCATCAAAAAACTAAATAGAGATAAATCTGATAAACTATATGTAAGATGTGTACACTGAAAACTACAAATTATATATCTTAAATTGGCACATTTTATAGTATGTGAATCATACCTCAGTACAGCTGATCAAAACAAAAAATAGTTCAAAAAACAGTGACAAGGAGGATAAAATCTGTTCAGTGGGCACAGGGAGACAATACAGAAGCAAAAGGAGATGGCAGGCAAATTCCTTTGTCTTGGCTATCTGGATGGTTAAAAGAAAGAATAGGAAAATGAAGAGGACAAAGAAATGGAGAGAAGACTCTCTCCTGAGAATTCACAACTAGAGGACTGTGTGAGCTTATGCTTGGCATCTGTGGGAAACCGCCATTGTTCTCCCAGAAATATATTATGTTTGATTTTGCTAGCAAAGATTTTCCACAAAGCCCTGCCAAATATAAGCGGACAATCTAAAATTTCAAAATATACCAAGAATCAATTAACCACAAGTGAAGTTAAAACCAATCCAAGAACTGTAGACACTGGATATGGATATTTAAAATGATTAAAAGCATGAAATAAGGCATTAAAAGCACTTAAAAAAAACCCCACAAAATCCTATAAAAAGACTAGATAATTTGAAACAGAACTAGAGAAGTATATTCAACAAAATTAATAATAGGTTAACCAGCAGCATGGCTGCAAAGAGAAAGAGTGTTGAACTGGAGGATGAGTTAGAGGAAAATAAAATTCAGGGGAGAGCTTTATTCTGAATCTATGAGAGAGAAGTTTAGAAACATGGAGTCCAGAATGGGAGCATCTTGGCAAACATCTAATGGGACTTTGGAAGACGAGAACAGAGAGAGTAGGGAAGAGACAGTTTTCAAGGGTTAATGGCTAAGGATATTCCAGATTTGATGAATATGAAGCTACAGTTTAAGGAAACCCAACAAGCCAAAGAGAAAAATCTTTAAAAAAACAAAACAAAACAAAAACTACTGAGAAAATAGAGATTATACAACTTAACAGATAATCATACCAACAAATAGAATTTCCATCAACTTTGAAAAACTCTCATTTTATCATTCCCCCTTTCCACTCCTCTGAGACTTCAATTAGATGTGGACTGTCCAGATGGGATAAGGTCCTGTCTCCTCCATTATTTCTACCTAACCCCTCTTTGGATTTCTGTCATGAAACTCTCTCCCTCTCTGGGACTATGTATTCTGGAATATTCCCTTGTTTAGGTGCTGCAGAGATTTTTAGAGCCCGGGGCAGTGAACCACAGTTAGAATGGGGATAAACGAGAGATATACTTTTCTTTTGTAGTGGGGGTGAAGGCTTTTGGATAAAGTGCATTAGAAAAGGCGAAACAGAAGACCTCAGGCATCTATTTTCAGAAGAGATCATTTTTAGTTAAGGGTATCTGAAGCTGAGAATCTGGAGAATAATTCCATTAAAAACATAACCAAGTTTAAAGATTAAAGTCTTTGTGTAGGGCATTTCACTTACCTATGTTTCAGGAAGGATAAAAATATTTACATCTTGAAGCTTCCTTAAATTTCTACTGGAATGCATTTAAATAAAAGCTATTTAACAGCTCAGTTCTGCTAAAGGAAACAGTCTGGATTCTAAAATTTTGTTAAACAGAACCACTCCAGGCATTAATTTTATGTTTTTCCTTCATCTAAGTATGAAAAAGAGAAAAAGCACTTGAAATTTTTCAATCAAGGAACCACTAAAAAGATTAAATGTGCCTCAGAATGTTTACAGGTACACACACAGAGACACCCACACAAAGGCGGTAGAGCTATTTAACATATCAAGCTCTGACTCGAACTGCTAATACGTGCTGGACGTGATTAAACTTAGAGCTTAGCTGTCAGCTATGATTTGTCCCAGTTACTTATAGCAGCTACAATTTTTAGTCACTAAGACTTGCCTCGTCAAGTTAATAATACCTTATTCCATAGTGTAAAAATGAAGATTTAAAACTTCAAGAAGCATTAAGAAGATTCAAAGGAAATAAGAAATATAAGAAATAAGAGTATCCAAATTTTGAAAAAAAGAACACTTCAAAAACAAGACATGAATTCAACATAGTTCTGCCACTGTCTGACAAATGGCTATCCTGACTTAAAATTCTGGTGGTACATAATAGAAAAATGTGTGTAATATTATTATCTAAACATACTGTTTTCTTTTAACCTGACCAAATCTCAACTATAAAGAAAAGGGTTCATTCAAAAGATAAATTAGGGCAGAAGACCTAAACAAGCAATTCTCCAAGGAAGAAACACAAATGATCAATAGGCACATGAAAAAATGTTC